GAAACCTAAGTGAGTTCGAGACTGCATCTCCATATTGTAGGAGCATAGCTATTCATTTGATGAAACCTAAGTGAGTTCGAGACTGCAGTCCCCCTTGGTTATGTATATCCCTTTAACGAAGCAAGATTTGGTGAAATTCGATAGGATCATGAGGTTTAATCATCTCATTGTAAAATCTGCATTGTTCCTCATCACCTTATGCAAACTAGAGTGATTACTTCTCTTAATTAAGATCTACTTATATTTCCGACATCTACTCATTCTAAAACTTGTACAGCTTTTTCTCATTTTTCTTTGTTCGATGTTTCGGCACACGTCGAGAAGTGCATAATTCATTTTATAAGCCATTTTTATTCACATCAATTTCCGAATCTATTTGTTTTTTCTAAGATAAATTCTCTACCTTATTAGAAAATATATTGTATTATAATTTTTTTCACTACACACTTTTTGCGCTTAGATTCACATGTGCCATACTCCTTGGCAACCTTTATCTTTCATCAACTTGTTGGCTCTCCTTCATCTTCACTGAGGTCACGAGGTTCAGTTGAACATACTCAAGACATTTCATTATCTACTTCTCTTGGAAAGAATGGATCTGTTCCTGCACTTGAAACTCTATATGATGAATCTTCTGGGCCCAATTTATCTGCCACTTCAAGTATTCCAATGCACACACCTTTCACTTCATCCATTGATAATCGTAGTTCTGCCCTTTCAGAACCCGCGATTCTACCATGTATCCCTGGTGGTGATGGCTGTAGTATTACGCTAAATACAGGCGCTGTTTTGGCTGGTTCAGGCCTCCCACTTTGTCTTTCTATATCAAGAGCTCAGGCACCCTGTCCTCTCTTTGCAGCCTCACCTGGACAAGCTCTGGCAGATTCTGAGCTGGCATATCAGGCTGTCACTAAAGTTTTGCAAATGCGCTCGCGTTTACCAGAATCTTCTCATCTTTTATTAGTTGAGGGTCAGCGAGCACAGCTAGATGCGCTTGCCTTCCATTTAATTCGCTATTACCGAGACGACATGGTGAAACTCTCTGGTCTCTTGGAAGCCATTCTTCCACATTCTCATAATCCGGCATTTAAGCCTCCTCCTTTTATATTATGTTTGACAGCTCCTCTTCATGAGGTGCTTAACTACCAAAAAAGTAAAGAAAACGATAACACTGTTGCTGATGTGCCCGAGGGTCTTCTTGATGAGCCAAGTTTTATTACAAACTCAAAGTTTATTGGCAGTACACTCCCTGTTACCCAGAACCCAGCTACATCCGATGCCTCAGGACAGCTTATCGAATTTGATAAACCCGATTATCATAAGCCCTTACAGCTGCCATTACCACAACAAGATCGTCTCATTTTCGGATCATCTATTGAAGTTACTCAAAGTCTGCCACCTTTTACCCATGAGAATAAGCCTGAAGCCGACATATTATCGCTATGGAGGCCCCATAATCAGCTCCAACAAATGACCATTGAGACTTCGAGATCATGTGAGTATTGGTAATATTTTAGATTTGTAGTAAACGCATAGTTTATAAACCGTTGCAACTTGCTTATTTTGTTAACAAAGCAAATTGTAGATGTGAAGACCAAGATGTTGTGGCCTCGGGTATGGTCGCAGTCTCCTTTCGAATTATAGAAGTGGGTT